CAGTGGAAGAACGATCACAGGGCCCTACGAGCGCTCGCAAAACCCGCGCACCGCTTCTTTTATTGCACTATCAATATGATTCTCGACCGCTGAGCCCTCTAGCGTAAGCTTTACTCATAGTTTTTGATGAAAAACTTGATATTTGATGGCGAAAAATTTGTCACAAAACAACAATTTTTTGGCTAACAATCTCGATTTTTATCAACTGCATAGCGGCACTCCAAGTACGCAGCCATCCTGAACAATTTTGTACAGCAGGTGCGACAGAAGAATCGTTTCTGCAACCAATTATAATGGGGGTCTTTAAATTTTCGGCAGGCTTAAGTAATAATTTGACGCATTTGCACTGTCGTGTGTTTGTGATTTTCGTAGCTAATAGACTTTTCGGTTTCACGAGACTCGAACCATGCTCCCCCCTGACCCGATCCTTACCTCTCTAAGCTCGCCATTGAGCGATCAAGATCCTTCACTATCCCCACTGTGGGACAAGATCGTCCAAATTTCAGAAGCTGATCTGCCCGTCTATGGATATCAGGGGCAACAAACAACCGAAAAAAGCTTCTCGGCTATACGCCACTATCAAGGTCGTTTAATTTTTGTGGACTCAGGACAAATACAGGTAAGCATCGCAGGACAGAACTTTAATCTGAGGGAAAATCAGGGGATCTGGATCCCTCCGTTCATCCGGCATCAAGTTAGAACCAACAGTAATACTTCAAGCAAGTCTATATTCATACATTCATTTCTGAAAATTTTTTTGCCTGAAACGTTTTTTTGTTTTAACAGCAATCCATTATTGCAGGAGCTCGTAACTACAGCGTCGCAAATCGCAATAGATGCCAAAATGAGTTACCGCATGAAACTCGTTGCTGCGGTGCTGGTTGAAGAAATTGATACTATATACAAGCTTCACTATTGGGCAGAGTGACGCTACGGTTGCGCGAGGGATGAAGGGTCGACCGCGGCGAGGCCCCAGTTAGTGTTTACACTCTCTTTGAATGGCGAGATAATCCATTATAAGGTCAAAATAGTGAATTTACGCCATGTGGGACGTGCATCAAATGATGCTGGGTGATGCTCCAGTCCAGGGTCTGGAGCGAGAATACCCACCGGGATCCGAAGCCGTGCATAGTCATAGTGACCATGCGCAGGTCATGTATGTTACCAATGGCTCGGTCACGGTCTACACCGCTGAGGGTATCTGGGTACTGCCGCCTCATCGTGCGCTTTGGATCCCTCACGGAATGACCCATACATTCAAACACTCCAGACCTATATCCCTTAGAACTGTATACGTCCACAAAGATGCT